GTTAAAGTCACCCTTCCAAATATTTCTACGCGTCTTGATTTTTGGTTGTTGGTTGGATAGGAGAGAGCACACGCAGGTAAAAGCAAGATAATCGCTTAAACCGAGTGGAGGTTGTATATTCACTTCCCCTTTGAGTCCTTCTTCTCTACTGAAAACAAGATCTAAACAGTTAGATCGTTGTCCTTCTCTCATTCTTGTTGCAAATTTTATGTGCTGAATGAGATAATCATTCAGGGAGAGTTGTAGTAGCTTGTGGTCAAATGAGGCGGACGGGGCGTTTGTTAGGGGAATTTTCCAGTCTATTCCTGGAGCGTTGAAGTCACCCAGAAGTAGTAAGTTCTTCTGCTTACACAACAACTCCAGTGCACTAAGTAATTGCATATCGGCGAATTCATTCGAGCTGGGAGGCCGATAGACAACACACAGGTTCAGTGTCGGTAATTGTTTGATGCATATCTTGCATGAAATTATTTCAAAATTTCGGGGCGCACCATCGGATATTTGTCGTTGACAGCACGCAATTTCATTTGACACGTAAATAGTTGTGCCTCCTCCTCTACGCTGAAGTCTGTCACAACGGAACAGTTGGTAGCCTTCAATTCTGACTTCGCTACTACTAATTTCCTCAGTCAACCATGTCTCTGTTAGGACAATTATGTGTGGCTTCTGTTCAGAGACTAGTAATCTGAGTTCATCTAGCTTGTTGAGAGGACTCTGACAGTTAGTGTAATAGATTTCTAGACAGCAGCCACTGGTTCGAGCAGCCTCAGGAGTTGGCACATTTGCATCGGTTAGGCTGTCAGAATGACGGCCTTCGGCCAGAGAAATGTCCATTTGACCTGAATTATTTGTCCGTTCATGATTTGTAGGTGTGTTTCGCCGCTGCTTCTCCGCTTTTCCAGCTCTGTCATCAGCTCTCTCATTTTCTTTCGCTCTTTTGACTCGTAATCCGGCTGAAAAAAAACTTCAGGATGCTGACCCCGTGGAGATTATTTTCTCTGTAACAGGAGCTGGGCCTGTGCTTCAGTCTCCAAAATGACTTTTAGGGGTCGAGGACGGGAATTTGAACCGGATGCTGACTGACTCTTCCCTATTCGGAATGCTTTGAGAACACTTAGTGACTCATCGTCACTTAGCAAAGTTTTCGCATGCACTTGAAGAAGATCTAAGTCATGCATAACTCTTTCCTTTGGAATTGTTGCCGTTGATTCGGGTACTTCTTTTATAACTACATTTTGCTTGCGACTGAACCTAGTGCTCGTTGTTGTCACATATCTTTTGAGTGACTGAGCGTTCTTCTCCAAATTACTGGTTCTGCTGGTTTCGGATGACCTAGCTATTGGGCTAGCGAAACTGAGATCCGTGTACGATTCATTTATCTTCCTGTTGATAACCCTTCCTTCTGTGTTTCCGAGGTGTTCGTCGAAAAAGTTTACCTCAGTTTCTTTCGAAGCCTCCTCGTGAATATTCGGTCCACAAAGTGTTCCGATGTCTTTATTTTTCAACATATTTGGGAACCTCCGGCGGTCTTTCGTAGGCCTCCTGGTCGTTCTCCTTCGCTGGTCTGCGTGTACGTAGGCGGCCTTCGTTTTTTGGACGGTACACAGGTGCGCGTTGTTTTTCTGGGATGTTTCTTTGTTATCTGAGTTCGCTTTGGCTGGTCTTTTTCTCGCCTAAGAGACAGGCATTCAACTGTGTCTAGTTCCCTGGACGAACCTTCGTCAGTTTCAGCGTTTGATATGGCTAAAGAAGTCGTGGTTATATATGTTTTTTTTTCAGATTCTGGATTGCCGAATTCGTAGGCTTCTTCTCTTCACGTAAGTGGTGAGTAAGCTGCCTTAACTTTTCTACCTCCATTTTTAGACCTTTTAACTCCCCCTCCATTTTCGAAAACTTATGGATGAGTCCGAAACATGTGGTACAGATTTCATCGTCGTATGTGACATCCCCAACGTCACTAGACTTTTTGCTCGTTTTACGGGCATTGGTCTGACAGCCGAACGTCCAACACTGCAGTCATTAATATCATGCGTAATACAAGATGTACCATTAGTTTTGACGACGCCGGCGCGAGTCAGTGCCTTAGTGGTAACGACGGTTCTCTGTCCGTGCGATGGACCGGGTTCGAACCCCGCCTGGGGCAGACATTTTACACCGTGTTTTAAGGGTATTTCTCGGAATAACATTACCGAGTTTACAAGTTTCAAACGGTTTTCTTAAAGGTTTGAGACGAATTTTCAACCAGATCAAAGATATGAGGTAAACGACTCAGCCTTTCGTAGGTTTTGGGGATTGCTTAGTGCTGTTGCAGAGAGGAGACTGGACGAAGATAGGTTATTCCTCACAAGTCCTGGTGTGGGTTTCCAAGGATAGACCGGACGCAAAGAAGAATCGGATTCTTAATACCCACCAGCCATGAGGACGTCCAGCAGATAGAAATCCCGATAAAAGTGAAGTCCCCCGAGGTCGAAAATTTAAAACCAAATTCGAAACACGCGCCAGAGGCAGAAATAAAAAGACCTCACGGTGACTGTTACGTCGTGGGTGGATATGATGTCTTAAAGAGGTGAGTGGGTTAAATGTGTGATTATATAAGAGCTTAAATAGCAAAAATAGTCCCTTTTGTAATCTATGGAACCGTAAAGGATAAAGGCCCGTAAGCCGGCAACGTTCTTGGTAAGACAAATGTCGGTATTCTGGGGTTAAAATTATCTTGGTAAAAAAGTGTTGAACGGCTTCTATTTTATTCCGCTCAGTAGCACGCATGAGGCTAAATAAAAACGAACAGTATTCCAGGCCAGGTCTAACGTACATGTTGTAAAGGCGCATTCTGATGTCCCTAGTTTTAAAGTTTCGGAGGATAAACCCGGTCGTTCTACGTGCTTTGGAGACTATCAAGACACAGTGCTCCGAGAGATTGAGACTCTTGGAGTATGATACACCCCAGATCCTTAATAACCCCAGGCACATTTATGGCGTGACCTTCAATAATTAGTTGAGATTGGCGGTCGTCGCCAACCACCATGTCTGAGCACTTATGCCAAGAGAGAGAAGG